TGTGAGCCAACGCCAGTGGGGTGGGGGGATGAGGTAGCTTAAATGTTAGTCATGACTTTGTAATGTCACGACCACACGCAGTTCATTTTGCAGCTGAAAGGAACCTCCTTTCCCATCTCACAGTTGGAGAAACTGAGCCCAGAGAGAGATTTCTGCCCAAGTTTCACGTTGCAATTTAGTGACAAAGTGGAAAAGAAAGCAGGTTAGCACCAGGGTTCCTAGTTTACTGCAGTAGGAAAATGATATTCTTTCTATTTTGCAGGTTGGGAAACTGAGGTACACGTGATAATGGTACTGCCCTTTGAGCACTTTTTGGGTGTAGGTGCCTCTGAATAGTACTCCATGACACCATGCACGAGGCAGACACCCTTATGCCAGCTCAGACAGCAAGACAAGGCTCTGGAGGTGAGCAACTCCCCGGCGGAGAAAGTCCAGACAGAAACCGGGATCCGGACCCCGATCTTTCTGACTCCACGGCACCCTCCCCCACCCCACCACACTGCCTGCTCCAGAGAAGACTGGAAACACTTGCAGAGGGTCAGAGAGTTAGGAAAACACTCTCTCCTGGTCGGAATTGCTTTCAACAGAGTCTAAAGTATGCTGTGAGACATTCTTTTCATTTACACTAGGCTTTTAATTGTCAGTCATGGAGAAATCAGCTCAAGAAGGTAATTCAAAAGAAAAAAATTAAAGCTGCATATGTAAAGGTTTTCCTGCAGGACTAGCTTTAATAACAAAAATTAGAAACAGCCCCAAAGCCCAGCAATAAAGAAATAATGAAGAAAATATGATACATAAACTATGCGGGTTTACATAGCAATTAAAGGCAAACATGAAGGCTCAGCATGAAAAAAATGCTTATGATAGATTATTAAGAAAAAAAAAGCATATGAAACTATTTTACAGTGACGACTCTCTAAGGATACATATGTACTTATAAAAAATAACAGAATGGGACATAAAAAAGTGAAAATGAAAAGCTATAGCTATGGGATGAGGTTGGTAAGATTATAAGTTTTAAACAGCTTATAACTTCCTCTAATAATTTTATATTTTTGTTAAAATACCTCAACTGAAAAGAGGAAAAAGGTGAGAACTACTTGGAACATTTACTTAGTAACCCAGGCCAAATTGGACTACGAAGGTCAGGACACCCGCTTCTTTTTCTCTTTCCATATTTTGAGGCAATCGGATACTTGATTTTTGCTACACTGCACAGACTCTTGTTTCTCCCTGTGGTGGCTTTCATTAGTTTGCTAGTTGACTAGTTAATGCTCTCCAACAGAGAGAGCCTTATTTCTGTTTTCCCTAGTGTTAAAGCTAAGTCAGAAAGATGAACATCTTTCTTTGTTTACTTTTGAGGTTTATATGAGTTGACTCATATAAAATTACTATTTTTCTGGTCCAAAATAAACAGATATCAAAAATGTCATATGGTCCAATCAGAAAATTTTAATAGCAGCAGGATTTTATCTTAAACCATCCTTGCAACTCATTTTGAATCATTCTGTTCAAACTGCCCTGCCCCTTCCACCAGTTTAATTTGGTTTTTCATTTTAAAGTACTTTGTTTCATGATAAGTTCTCTAGAACAGAGGTCCAAATAATGCCACTCCAGTAACCACCTCTCCCCCAAATAACCATTAAAGGTAATTTTAATCACATAGAAATGTCTAGATTTCCTTCATTTACTCACTTTTTAATTCATTCCACAAATATTCACTGCTCCAGGCTCTGTGCTAAATGCTGGGATGCACCTCTGAGTAAGACTGAGATGAGTTTTCCCTCAGCGAACATATCCTGGTGTTTCAGGCTGGGAGGAAGGGCTACATACAGGCAGTGACTCAACTGATCAGTCTGTTTCAACTAACAGGCCAGTGACTGGTTTGACTATTTTTTAACCAAATTGAATGTCTGCTCAAATTGATTAAATCCAGCACTGCTTTAGTGTTAATAAAAACTAACCTTGGCCCAAGCCAAGAAGTTTATTTGGAATGATCCCTGCTTTATATTTAGTCAGTTAGCTGACCCAGAGGTGAACAATTTAGGAGAGAGGATTTCTGAAGTGTGTGTGTGGACGACACTAACGCAGGCAGGTCCCTAATGGCTCCTGAGCCCTTCCAAGCAAAACACAAGGCTTGATGCCTGGGGACTCTTGAAAGTCAAAGTGTATATCCAGTAAAAAATAAGTCTAGTTTTTTTAAAGACAAAGGCAAAAATAAAAAGAATTTAAAAATAAGTACAGCGGTGGTTATTCACCTAAGCAAGGGCTTCCCAGGACCACTTCTAGGGGATGTTCCGAGGCAGCCCATGTGGCCCCTAGGCCAGCGAGTCTGAGAAATGCCGGGGTAGGGAAATGAAGTAGCTCATCCCGAAGAGAAGAGCCAGGTGCCTGGGGGTCCGAATAAACCATGGGTGGGAATGCCATCGCTGAATAACTCATCCTACCAGCACTCAATAGGCCCCCTCCAGTCCAGCTCCAAGCAGTTTAAGCAAAGAACTGGCGTCCAAGAAGTTTGCCTTTATACCGCGCCAGTGTGCAGCCAGCCCGACTGCGGGGCCGCAAGATGCGGGCGGCCGCCTGACCGAGGACCCCCACGTGGACTGCGCCTCTAGTTTCCTCCCCCTATTCATATTACATACGTATGTTCAGGCATGTGCTCACTTGGGGGAGTATCTCCTACAGAATAAGCAGAAAAGACAGCCTTAGGAAACAGTGGTTATTCATGAACAGTAATGCTCATTATATGACCGCCAAACTTCGACCCCTGGGCTGGATGGGGCCAGCTGCCGGGTGGGCGGCCGCCATGGGCCTGCGCTGCCGTGGCGTGCTCAGAGGCAGAGGAAGGGCAAGCCGCCCTTCAGAGGGCGGAGAAATGCCGGGCGCTGTTTTCCAACACAACTGAGAGCAGATTGAGAATCCCAACCACCTGTTTCCATTTCTTGCTCCTGGATATTGAGAAATTGAGAAGACGGGCCAGGAGGTAGTGACAGCGACAGGTAACAGCTCCCATGTATCGGCTGTCTGCTATGCATCGGGCGTGTCATTCACTTCTCATCTCCACAAGGGAGGTTATCCTTAGATACCAAAACTAAAGCCCAGAGAGTTTCAGCGACTTGCCTGCGGGCGCACAGCTAGGAAATAGCGCCTCTGGGATTCCTCCTGTGACCGGCCTGACTCTCTGCACCACAACCATCCGCCTCCCTAGCAGCAGAGCCGCAAGCTAGCCTGGGAGCCTGCATTCGCTAAGGCTCTTTGCACCACCTCGCCGGGGAAAAGACAGCGGCTGCCCTGACCCCGGGGCGCCTCCTTGGCCACTGTGTGCAGGCAGCTGGAGGCACTGAGCGGCTGAGGGCTCTGCGGGCAGAGTGTGCCCATGCCAGCAGGCACGCCGTCCGCGTCCCCTGGAGCCTCAGACCCTGGTGACACTCTCGGTGGACACTTGCCCGGGGACACCTCCTCGTGTACACAGACTGGGTCATGCTTGCTCCGTTCCTAATGATCTGGGCCTTTCCACGGAACTGCAAATGGAAGTCTTAGTGAAAAAGGAGACGTTTTAAAGGGCGTGGGGGATGGGTAACTCAACTGAGCAAAACAGAGACGAGACGCCACTCCGGCCCGTCAGCAGCCGTTCCTCCAGGGGAAGTGGCGAAGGGTGTCAGGCAGCGCGGGTGCCACTTACAGCCCTCATGCTGAAGGCCCAGGTGTCCCCGGGCCTGACCTCCCCGGGCTGGGACCCAGGAACACGTCTGTCTCGGAGTCTTATCCAAGAGTGTCTGAAATTTCAGTCCCCACCTCAGCAAGGCGGGTGACACTGAACTGAAGGCTGCTGCACGCGGCGGGTCTGGTCCTTCCACCTGGTCTGCGGCGGGGACTGGCCCCTCGGTCCCCTCGGCCCCCTCGGGCCCAGGCCCAGCGCGATGGCCGCACCCGAAGCCCGGGGCTGCCCTGAAGGGCCCCACGCCCTCCGACGGGCTGTGCTGGGCCTGCCGCTCCCGCCCTGGGGCTCCGCAGCGCCGCTGGTGGCTGCGGGGCGAGGACCTTGAGGCCACCCTCCCGGTGTCCGCAGCCCCCGACGCGGCCCGCCCGTGTCCTGTCCGCCACCCCCGAGGAGCCTGCCTGATCCCCTCGTTGTGCTCCCACCCTCCGGGCCAGGAACATGCAGGCACTGAAGGAAGCCAGGGCCCAGCGTGCTCTCTGGGGGGCTGCCTGTCACCCACGGGGGCCACTTAACCAGTCACATCCTCTCAGGTCCCGAACGTTCGACTGCATTTCCGGTCCGGGTCCCAGGACCCTCGGATGCAGAGCCCCGTGGTGAGGTCACCCAGCCTGGGATGGGGGTGCCACGGGGCCGCCCTTGGCCTTGGGGTGCCGGAGCGCAGGGGCGGCCGGCAGAGCTCAGTCCAGACACGCACCCCACAGAAGGCTACGCTTCCCTCCTTGGTGAGCCCCACTTTGCCCCCGGCCCGTCAAGGTGCTTCAGGTCAGCCAGGGCCACAGCTGTGCCCCCATCTGACCGACGAGAGAAGTGTCCTTTGTGGGCGAAGGAAGAAGGAAAGAGGCCAAGTGACGGAGCCGGCAAGCGGGTAAGAAGACACGCAGAGCCTAGAAAAATGTGCCGGCACGAAGCACTTCCTGGCTGACATTTTCTGGCGCCCTCCAGCTTCTGTTTAATACCCCCACCCCTTCTCCCCACACGGCCTGCCTCAGTTGCTCATCTGTCCCCCTCCTCCGTGGACTTTCTCTCTTCCGTGAGCACTAGAAAAATCTGCCCTTCAGGCCAGTGTGTTTCCAGCAGCTGGCCCTGACCTGATGCCCAACTTGGTTGCAGTGACGCAGGTGCCAGCGTCGAGCTGGACCCCCTCTGCTCAGCGCCCGTCGGTGTGGGAGGACAGGACTGGCAGGAGACCCCCAGCTCCTCACCAGCCCTCCGCCGTCTGCCCCCAGAACACGCACATGCACAAAGAGTCTCCAAACTGCCGTCCGTCCATCGGCCTTACCTGTGACAGGGAGCTGGGCCTGCAGGATGGCCGCCATGACGAGCGCCTTCCACTTCATCTTGTCCCTTCCCGCAGGATGGTGCCCGGAGGCGGCGGCTGTGGCAGCCACGGCTGGGACAGAGAGGACAAGGGCAGTCTCTGCTGGCTGGGCCTGCTGGCTCCTCAGGAAGTGGGGGACGACGGGGCCTGTGTGAAGGCAGACACCTGCCACAGGGCCGAGACACGCTCCCCCTTTCCGTTCATGGGCAGGAAGCTCTGGAGGTTTGAGGGTTGGGGTGTGTGTGTGTGTGTGTGTGTGTCTGAATTTTGCTTTTTCTCTCATTTAACCATTGTTTATTTTCCTCTTTTTTTTCTAATATTTATCTAATTCCTATTTTAATTGGCAAAGTCAGTCCCAAGGCAAATAAATACGAGTTTCTGATGCAGGTAAGGACATTTCCCATTTTCCTAGAGGCATGAATATTTGAGTATTTTATAGAGGTTGAGCTCTGAGTTCACAATCAAGCTTAATGTACAGCCAGAGCTCTCTGCTTCTAGTACCATCTCTGCTGTGCACTTGCTGTGAGGCCTGAGTAGACTTCAGTGTTCTAATCTAGGGTACAAATTGCTGGGGTAGATCTGAGGTTGCAGATCTAAACTTGGCCTAAATGAGGGCCATTGAATTGTTTGAAATACCAAAGCTCACCTAGTATTTCAAACACTTTTGTTCATTGTCAACACTTAGACACTGGAGTAATTCACAATAACAAAAAAAAATCCATATTGAGAAATAAGCATAATAAAAGTGTAAGATCTATATGAAACAGACTTTAAAACATTCCGGGCGAATACAGAAAGGCCTTGGGCAAATGGAAAGGCATGTCTTGGTCTTTGATAAAAAGTTCCCTCTAATGACCAAAATTCTCCCTGAGCTAACAATCCATCCCACTAAAAACACCAACATATAAAAATAACTCCTACAGCTCAACAATAAGAAAACATAACCCAATTTTAAAAATGGCCAAAAATCTGAACAGACATTTCTCCAAAGAAGTACAAACGGCCACTGGGCACAATGAGAAGGCACTCAACTTCGTCAGTAGTTAGGGAGATGCAAGTCAAAACAAAATGTTGCTTCGCACCCACTACAAGGGCTAAAATAAAAAAAGATAGACAAGCATCAGTGACGATGTGAAGAAATTGGAACACTTGGACGTTGCTGGTGGGAATGTAAACTGACGAAGCCATTGTAGAAACAGTTTGGCAGTTCCTCAAGGAGTTAAACGGTTATCATATGTCTCAGCAATGGTACGTCTAGGCACATGCCTAAGAATTGAAATCACATGTCTGCACAAAACTGTGCTTTCATAGTCATTGCATCATTAGTCCTAACAGCCCCAAACTAGAACCAAGCCCAGGAAGGAATGGATCAACGAATGTGGTATATCCCCCAAATGGAGTATGAATGAATGAATGAAATGAAGTATTATTACAATGTTACAACATGGATGAACCTTGAAAACATTATGCTAAGTGAAAAGTGAAAGGAGTGAAACATTTTGTAATTCCATTGCTATGAAATGCCCAGAGTAGGTAAGCCCAGAGAGACAGGAAGTAGATTAGCGGTTGCCAGGAGATGGGGAGACAGGGAAATTGGGACTATCTCACTAAGAGGCATGAAGTTCCCTTTTGGGGTGACAGAAATGTTCTAGAATTCAGTGGTGGTGATGGTGCACGGCATAGTGAATATTTTAAAAATCACTGGGAGTACATTCAAATGGTGAATTTTATGTTATGTGAATTATATCTCAATACAGAATTAATGCCAAGACAAATAAACAAAAAACAAAATAGCCAAGAAAACTCTGGAATAGAAGAGCAAGGAGAGTTAAATAGCCCTGCCAGCCATCAAACATTGCAAAGCAACGTGATTCCCACTGACATCTTTGGTACTACAGTCTCAAACACACAGACAACTTGTTTTTGACAAAGGTGCAAGGAAAATTCAATGGATAAATGATAGTCTTTTCAACAAATGGTTGAACTAGGTATCTATATGGAAAAAATTAAAAAACATTGACTCTCAGTTTACAGCATACACAAAAACTAACTAATATATTTCACAGACCTAAATGTGAATTCTAAACCTATAAAACTCCTGGAATAAAACATAGGAGAAAAACCTTTGTGATGGAACTTAAGAAGCACAAACTATAAGAGAAAATAAATTGATAAATGAATGGTTATTAAGCACATGTAAAGATGCAGAACATCATTAATAATTAAGGAAATCCAAATTAAAACACAATGGGTACATACCCATTGATACAGTTAAAATTAATCAACCGGCCATACCATGTGTTGACAAGGGTATGGAGGGACTGGAATTCACAGAGACTAATGGTTGTTATTTTAAATGATACAGCAATTTGGGGAAACAGTATGGCAATTTTTTAAAAAGTTAATCATGCATCTACTATATAATCCAGCCATTCCACACTGAGGTATCTACACCAGAGAAAAGGAAATATGTCCATACAAAGATCAGTACATGAATATTCCTAACAGTTTTATTTTTAATAACCAAAAGCTGGAAACTACCCAAATATCTACCAACAGATGTATGGATAAAAAATACTCATATATCCATTCAATGAACTAAAACTCAGTAATAAAAAGGAATAAACTGCTAGTACACACACCACCATGGCTGATCTAAAATCATCTAAAATCTAAAGTCAGGTGAAAGAGTACATGTTGAATGACTCCATTTACATAAAAGTCTATGAAATTAGACTAATCTTCAGTGAAGAATTTCAAAAACGAACTACTAACCGAGGAAAGGCGCTTGCTGTACGGCGGCAAAGGGCTTAGCTCCTTACCTCATAAAGAGCATCTAAGCATTATTCAATCACAACAAATACTTTCTGAGAGCCTACTGTGCGCCAAGCACTGTGCTGTATGCTGAAGATTAAACCAGGAACAAAACAGACAACAAATCCTCATGCTCACAGAATTTTCCTGTTGGTGGAGGTCTAAAACCACACTAGATAAAATGAGCAAAGGACTTGAATAGAAAGTTCATGGAAAAGGAAATACCGAATGGCTTTTAAATGAATGGAAAATCCTCGGTAGCAGTCTAAGATATATCAGAATTAAAACTACAGTAAATACACTTTTCACCTGCCTTACTGGTCCTGACCCCTCCACTTGGTTCAACCCTTTCTCACCTCCCAAGGATATTGTTCCAGAATATTTCTCTTTTCTCTCCTGAATATCAATTTTTTCTTCTAAACTGGATCATTTTATCAGTACACAAGCATGTTATTTCTCCCATCTTTAAATACCCTCAAAGATTTGAAAAGCATTTTCACCTTGAAGCTTGCCATATCTCTTGCTGCTTTAGGAATCCAGCCCCCGTGCGAAGAAGCCTTTATTAGCCTGCTGGAGACACACGGCTCGGCTGCCGGCCGGCACTCAACTCCAGATGAGACAGTAAGGCCGTCTCAGACCATCCAGCCCCACCCGAGCTTCCAGAGGACTACGGACACATGGGTGGCCCCAGGTGGGGCCCGGCAGATGCTGCCTAATGGAGCCCGGCCTCAGCTGCTGACCCACAGAACCATGAATAACTAAAATGGTTGTTCTAAGCCACTAAATTTGAGATGGTTGTTACATGATGACAGACAGCTGAAACACTCAGTATCCCCTTATCAATCCCAGGATGCACTCTAATTGGCCCAACTTGGGTCTTATTGCTCACCTCTTGGATAAACCATTATTTCTAGGGGGATAAGAGGAGATTGGACATGGAACACTATGATTAACAGCTCTAACAAAATCATGTGTGATAGATAAAGGAAGGGAAAGTACTCCGGGCATACATAAAGCAGTAATTGTCCATTGCAGTTGCTGTCCCTCCTGCGTGCAGTGGAATGGGGCTGGGACCTAGAATTAAGCCCGTTCTGCAGAGGAGGACACAGATGGGGGCACGAGCTAAGGCAAAACCCAGGGAGGACGTGATGACCAGCAGCTGTAGCCCCTTGTGGGGAAGCTCTGGCCGTTCTTCATGGTTGAATCCCTAGCTCCCAGGACCTTTAGATGGGTGGATAGATGCATGCATGGATGGCTTCTATTAACATGGTGTATCATATTTATTAATTTGCATGTGTGGAACCATCCTTGCTTCAGGATAAATCCCACTTGATCATGGTGTGTGACCCTTTTAATGTGTTGTTGAACTTGGTTTACCAGTATTTTGTTGAAAATTTTTGCATCTATATTCATCAGGAATATTGGCCTATCCCTTATCAGGATAATGTTGATCTTGTGAAATCAGTTTGGGAGTGTTCCCTTCTCTTCAGTTTTTTTTTTTTTTTTTGGAAGAGTTTGACAAGGATTGGTGATTATTTTTTAAATGTTTGGTAGAATTCCCCAAGGAAACTATCTGGTTCTGGAATTTTCATTGTTGGGGGATTTTTTAGTACTGACCCGATCAGTATTTTCTATTTCTACATGATTCAGTTACGGCAGGTTTTACATTTCTAGGAATTTTTCCATTTCCTTGAGGTTATCCAATTTGGGGGCATATAATTGTTCATAGTAATCTCTTATGATCCTTTGTATTTCTATAATACCTGTTGTAGTGTTTCCTCTTTCATTTCTGATTTTTTTTCCTTAGTAAATGGCTTGTCAATTTTACTTATTTTTCAAAAACCTTAGTTCTTAGTTTCATTAATCTTTTCTATCATTTTTCTGTTCTCTATTTCATTTATTTCTGTTCTAATCTTTGTTACTATCCTTCTTTCTGCCAACTTTGGGCTGAGTTTGTTTTTTCTTTCTCTGCTTCCTTGAGGTGTAAAATTAGGTTGTTTATTTGAAATCTTTCTCATTTCTTAATGTCCATACTTATCAGTATAAACATTCCTCTTAGAACTGCCTTTGTTGCATCCCATTAATTTTGGTATGTTGTGTTTCCATTTTCCTTTGTTTTGAGGTTATTTTTTTATTTCTTTGACCCATTGGTTGCCCAAGAGTGTGTTTTTAGTTTCCACTTATTTGTGAAATTTGTAGTTTTCCTCCAGTTATTGATTTCTAGTTTCATGCCATTGTGGTCAGAAAAGATACTTGGTATGATTTTGACATTAAATTTGCTAAGACTTGTTTTTGTGGCCTATGATATGATCTATCTTGAAGAATGTTCCATGTGCACTTGGAAAGAATGTGCGTTCTGCCGGTATTGGAAAGAATGTTCTGTATATGTCTATTATGTCTATTTGATCAGCAGAATCATTCAAGTTCAATGTTTCCTTATTGATTTTCTGTCCGGATGATCTGTCCACTGTTGAAAGTTGGGTACTGAAGTCCCTACTGTTATTTTATTGCTGTCTATTTCTCCCTTCAGATCTGCTAGCATTTGCTTAATATATTTAAGTGCTCTGATGTTGGGGCCATTTATATTTATGATTGTTGTATCCTCTTGAAGAAACAACCCCTTTATCATTATATAATGATCTTCCTTATCTTTTGTTACAGCTTTTGGCTTGAAAGTATAATAGTCTCTTGATTTCTACTTGCATGGGCTGTCTTTTTCCATCTCTTTATTCAGCCTATATATGTGCCCTTAAAACTAAAGTGAGTGTCTTGTAGGAAGATTTATAGGTTGCTGTGATCCTCTGGTGGTGTCCTGTTTCCTCGGCTTTTTATGTTCCTTAAGGTCTTGCATCACTGCGTTCGCATTTGAAGTAGCAGCCACCTCCTCCAGCCGTGGGGGGAGAACGATCCCCCATCAGCCCTGCTAGGGGTTCCGAGGCTCTCTCAGACCTTCTGGGCTCTGCCCGGCCCGTGCTCCTTGCCCCCTCTTGTGGCAGGATTCATAGGCTTGTGTGCCTTCTCTCGATCCTGTACCCGGCCAGGATCTGACGGCCTCCTTTCTGACACCTCCCTTTCCTAAGGGCGGTGTAAAGCTTGAGCTGCTCCCCCCCTGGCCCACAGACTCACGTCAGTTTCCGGCGCAGGCTTACTAGCTGCCTGCTCTGCTCGCTCTCCCTGCCACCAGCAGGGGTGCACACAGGAAGCCAGGCATGTGGGTGAGGTGAGCAGAGCGCTGGGGTGCCTGTGAGCCACTCGGGGGGATTTGCAGGCAAGGCATCCCCAGCAGCTTGTGGGCTGGCTTCTTGGTGGGGACCCCAGGACAGCCTGTGGGGTCCACATCCCTGTAATGCCCTCAGCGTGTCCTTCCTGCTGCTCTCCTAGCCTCCTTCCACTGCCCGGTCATGTAGCTCGTGGTTCCGCGCTCCGGGTGGAATGAGGGAGAAACAGGCCACTCTGGAAGATCCCGCAGAGCCAGGACAATCATAACATTTATTTTTGAGAAAACTCAACCCGTGGGTCATCATCTGACATTTGAAGGCAAGGAAAGAAAAGCAATTTGCATTTACTGAGCCTTTAGTGCTCAATGCTAATAGGAAGCTAAGAGCTGCCAATGGAAACGACACAGTACCATTTCCACCCTCCAAGTCCGAGCACTGGGTGAGCATTACGGGCACGGCGTGCGGGAACACTCACTGATGTGAATTGTCGGGAGCAGTTCAGAGCATGTATCAGCAGCTTTCGGCTTGGGAATTTCACTGCTGGGACTCTTAAGGGAAAAAAAATGGAGATGTAGAAAATACTTAAGGTCTTTCTCTTATAACAGGAAGAAATTGGAAGTAACTGAAACATTCAAAAATTGGAGGAAGTGGTAGCAGCCCTTGGCTTTTGGCTGCCCACTGTCCGTCCTTCAGTAGACATAACGTCTCCTTTCCTTTTGGGAGGCCTGCTCCTAAATCCTCCCAATCCCTGTGTCTGACCTGTGAGCTGAACCCCACACTGCAGGGAAGAACACGGGACCCAGGCACAGCCAATGAGGACACCCCATTTCCAGGCACAGCGATCATTCAGGACGGGCTCTCCGGGCGGGGAAGGGTGCCTCCTCTTTGCTCTAAGGCTGCTGGCTGCGGCTGAAGCCGACACAACGGGAAGAGAAGCCAGGAGATGAAGACTGAGCTCCACGAAATATTTTCATCACCAAACTTTTTGCTCAAACTACTTTGACTAGGGTTTCTGTCATTAGCAACAGAGAGCTAATCCAGGCCATCATGGCATGCTTCCGAATGGCTTGTGATGACAACCAGCTTAGGATTGAGTCAATGAAGCACGATACACAGCCGATGGACAGCTTGACCTGAACATTTCACAAAAGCAACGATCGGAAGAAAACACCTCAAAATATCAGTAGCTATGCTGGCTGGAGAGATTATGAATGTCTAAACTTATTTTATTTTCCTTGTTTTCCACACAAATTTATATATCTTACAATAAATACTAAGGAAAAAATTAAGTTCTATGGGTTGATTCATACCAACTGGACTGCAGTTATAATGGCCTTCTTTGATGACAATGTATAGAGCACCTGGTTCTGGAGTGACAGTTTGGAATTTCCCTAAAAAATACTGACTTACCAGCTTCACACGAAGTAGAATGTTATAAAACTGAAAACACACACCATTATAGGAAAGTAGAATCTCCCTTTCAATTAGTGATCTCCAGTCTGAATATTACTAAGAAGGAAAACATGACGCGAACACCCTCAAGTCAGACATCTATGCATTGGTTTCACTGAGCCTGGCTCCATAAAGGACTTTCTACCCCCCACCACATACCTGCAAGGGACTGGGGCCCGGACAGGAGGCAGAGGAGCTGGGACGCCCGGCCGCGGCCTGGGGAAGACAGACGGTCTCGGCTGGCAGAGCTCCGGGCCGATGATTCCCACCAGGTGCGGCCAGCTGGCCCGGCAGCTCTGCGCTCCTCAGCCGCCTCCTTTCTACTGTTAATTTCCCTTTCTTGGTCAGGGCCTACCTTGCTCTCTGGGCCATAGCCAGTCCCAGTATGAAGCTCATTCTCTCGGCTCAAGGCCAGGGCACGGTCCCTCCTTCACTGCAGGTGGACTCAGGGGCGCGCAGGGGACACAGTGATAAATCTGGGGAAGCAATCAGCAGCAGCACGGGGCCAGGCTCTGCTTTCCCTCTCGGCCCTGCTGGGCCGCCTTCACCCCAGGGTCATCTCAGTGAGGCGGTCCAGCCCCTACCCGGCCCACGGTGTCACTCTCAGGGGCTTGATCAGCTGGCTGGTCGGAAACCGGCATCGGTGTAACGTGGCCCACAGTGACCCCTGGTGGCCACTCAGAACACAATAGGGACATAGTCGGCCACAGAGGATCCGGGGCACCTGCTATGGGGCAGTGGTTGACTTTCTTCCATAATCTGATGTATAATACAGGTCTGTCTGTATTTGGTGCCAGATGGTGAGGCCGAGACCCAAGGAAGTGGGTACAAGGGGAGCCCTAAGCCTAAGAGAAGACCCACCAGGGGCTGCATTCTGGCGTGCCCCAAATTTTAGGACTTGATGAGCTGTTCACCAGTGCCAAAGGGTCGAATTACTCACCTTAAGCTTTGCAACAGCCCGTGGCTGATGGAAGAGCGTGCTAGAGTAAAATCAGCAGATAACAACACAAAGTGTGAGAAGTATTAACATCTGTGTTTAGGAAATGAAACCAACACGGTTCATTAAAATAACGCTTTTAATTATTGATGCTTTGAATTAAAAACTATTGTACCATGTTTCGTATGAATCATTTTTCTTCAACAAAAGCTGTTTGCTGGATTCCAGACAAGTTCATTTTGTACTTTTAAACACAATGGCTCTTATTCAACTCCCTTCCTCTTAGCCATTTTAAGGAGTCCGTGGCTTGATTCCCACCACGCCTCTTTGGAGGATCTTATATCGTCGTCTGAAGTCACGTACACAAGTAATAAAATTAAGCAGTTTGTTCTCTTAAGAAAGGTGATTTTTAAAAAGGGTCATGTCACCTTGCCCCTGATCACCTGACTTGACAGCAACAGCATTAGGAGCCAGGCAGAGATGGAGAGCAGCTGAGGAAGCCTCCGGTCACCACGGGGAGCAGCCTGCATTAAAGAGCGGGGGCGAGCAGAAGGGCAGAGGGGGTCCTGGCCCTGGCTTAACCCCGCAGAGTTGGGTTAACCTCACTCACAAAAGAACACCAGAAACAACCCCCACACAAAGTCCCCTGTTTCCTTTTCTTTGACAATCCCACCTGGGGGCAAGAAACAATAAGTAAATGTGCGTATGTGTGCACTGAGTGAAGAAAGCTGATCATACAGGGTCCACTTGGTAGGGAATCCAACTCAGGGAAAGTTCCATGAACTTTCTTTATTCTAGGTAATTAGCACTTTAGATTTGAAAAGTGGAAAAAAAAAGTTCTTCATAAGAAATAGTTTTGCCCTATGTTGGATCAACAATACCAGGCCAGTCAGGCATCAACGGCCTACAAGTAGGAATTTCTATTTGTGTTTCACCCTCGTTTGTCTTGGCAAGAGTTCCTGGGTGCTGGGACATGGGCCAAGCCCGTGTCCAGGCTCAGGCAGCAGCCGTGGGGGTGCAGCCCTCTCCCTGGCACCGGGAAATTAAGTGGTGTCCGGGAAGTAAGGGCTTTCAAATGCCAAAGGCAATCTAAGTCTAAATCGGAGACTTGGTCCTCTTGAGGGAACACCACTGGAAAACTACTTGGCATTGATGGGAAAAAAATGGACTTGATTATAATGAAAGGCATGGCTCTATGAAAATGGCTTCAAAATGTGGGGAAAAAAAATTCAGCGACCACATCTCCCAAGAAACCCAGCAACAGTCTAACTCTACTGTAAACAAGCGAGCAAGCCGGCATGTGAAAGAGAACTGGTGCAACAGGAACATTTCCACGGAGAAACATCACGCCCACCCAGTCTGAGCCGTCCTAAGCACGTCACACGGGTGGGGGTGGGGGCCAGTCGCCACATCCCGCTTCACCTACACAGGCAAGAAGAATACCTCATTAAACTGAGTGACACGTCTTACCAGTTAATTCATTCTAGAGAAGGACTAGAGAAACTTCGGGTCCAAAAGTTTAAGACTTCGAGTTAATTCCAGCCACTTTACTGTCCTGAAGGCCTGATTTTGTTAGAATGCAAACTTCTGGGTTCTGGTTCACCAGGGTCAGGGCTGGGCCTGGGAACCTGCATCTAGCCAGCATCCCTCCTCTCTAAGCATGCTGCTGACGCTTCAGCAAATGCAGCCGGGATGAGGCACTCATCGTGGCTGCGTATCTGAGGGCTTAAAAGACAAATACAGTTGAGAACCTTAGGGCAAAGGGGCAGCCGTCAACCAGTGCCTGACGATATGAGTCCAGCTGGGGAGGTGACCCTGGCAGCAGCTGTCAGGACACCCACCTCCAGGTGAGGGGACTGGGCAAGTTTGTAATCCATGGTCTCTCATGCCCATCATTGCTGGGGGTACGGGGGCACCAGAGGAGGGCGATGGGGCCTGGTATAAACACCCTGCGGCTCAGACTTAACAGTGACAAGAGGAGCTGCTCATCCCGACGAGACCTGCTTGCCCAGGGATGTCAGCAAATAGTCCGTGTGGACATTTAAGGCTTCCACCTGCTGTGAGACCCAAGGTCCAGGGAGGCAAGCCACCTTCAGCCAGCCCCACATCAGCCCACCAGGTGGCACCTGTGCTTCCCCAAAGATCCCCCATCTGAGATCAGTGGTTTTCAGGAGCGAATGGTTTTACGGTACCTGGAGAGGTAACATCCCCCAACACTGACCGGGCAGGCCAACCAAGGTGGCTGCCATTTGGGCAAGTCCCGGAATGCCTATGAGGCCCCGGGGAGTGTTTCCCCCAAGATGGGCCAGCTCTCGGCCCTTATGGATATTGCTGTGTGCTCTCCTGGGCCAGGAAACAGTTCTGGTGGCACCCCGGGCAGGTGGGATGGTGGGGAGGGCCCACTGCCGGCTCTGAGATGAACAATCAGTAGTGAGACCCATCCAGAGCGGTCACCTTTAAGGCACTGCCCATAGCCAGGATCCTGGTGTCCCACCTCAGAGGGGTCATGTCCAGCTCTAGTCTGTGCTCCTCCCTTCGAAAGAGGAGTGAAACGCTCCCTCTTATCTCTGAGCTGCACACAAGGCTCATTTGTCTGGGTAATAAAGTGGGAACCTCAGATTTATCATTTTTACTTCGTTATTCAGTATGCAGACTTTTGGGAAAACATTTTTAGTTTGTTATTAAAGCAAGCATTGCCCTTGGACATGTTATTTATACAGAGATAACTGTACTTGAGAGATTGTTATGTCCTGTGAAAGTAAACTTTGACCTGGAGTAGGCTGTAACCGCTGCCTCTCCATTCCCACACGCTGAGATGGCTTTGCCAGTCCGGAAGAGAATGACTGGCCCGCGCCTCTTCTCCTGCGTACCCAGAAGCAAAATACACTGTGGACTCCTTATTCAAACAAAGGAGTTGAGAACCTTGTCTCAAACTACTGGCTTGACAAGTAGCCAGTATTTACTTACACCTGTTCTGTGCCCTGTTTGCACCATCCTAGACCCTGTTTGGCGTAACAAATAAAAATAAAATCTGAGCTTTGTGAAGAAATTTACTATCATGGTGGGAAGCCAGCAGCTCAGCGTGGAACTATTGTCCAGCCAAACACAGAAGGAGTAAATGCCAGGAATGGACGTGTCCATGAGCCACAACCTCCGAGTCTAAGTCTCACTGCTGGAATTTCCACCAACAGCAGTCGGGCAGTACAAGGAGGAAGGGCACCGCGGACGACACTGATTAGGGGCCGGCGGCTACCAGGGAGGCAGCCACAGGGACAGAGGGCGCTGGGTCCGGAACGTGGAGGTCTGAACCCCAGCACCACGACGCACTGGCTGGGAAACTGGACGAGGTTCTTACTTTTCTGTGCATCTGCTCTCCATGGGGAGAAGTGGCCTAATTCATGGGGCTGTCACGGGAATCCAAGGAGTCAGCATGTGCGAAGCATACAGACAGCAACAGCGCTCGCTGAGCCCCAAGGGCTGTTACAGTCAGGACCGACCCATGGCCCCGAGGATGCCAGACACGCCAGCAACCTGTGCCCCTGGGAGAAGTGCTGGGATTCCTTCCTTGAACCCTGACCTAAGTTTAAAGAATCCGATCCCACCCTTCTCCCCTGCCCTCCTCGCCTTCTCAGGTTGTATTCCCCTCCTTCATTCTCTCCACAGAGGCACCCAAGTCTGATCCTCATGAGAAAATACCATCACTGAGGGGCCCACGAGAATAGCCTTCAAATGGGTCCCCAACCTGGTGCCCAAACCAGTAGACTGAGTTGAGGGAGGCCTGTGAACTTGGATGGAAAACACATTATCATTTTCATTACGCTCTAACCAAAAGGTATCTTTTCTTCAATGATGAATGCAGGTAACACACCACTGTGGTGACAGTGTATCTGTGACTGTCACCAACAGAAACACAGAAGCCACAGATACTTTCATATGTTAGAATTGTTGCAGATGTTTTAAAATACTGTTTCGGTTCTCATTGCTAGATCCTACTGCTTAATGTGTTCATTAAAAAGCCAACACATTACTATAACACACATTTGAAAAATACATTTATAAATGTATTTCAAAACAGTTCATTTTCTTTGTAATGCCACGTTGTTTATGCATTTAAAAAATAGTATTCTGAGCGGGGGTCACAGGCTTCACCAGCTTGCCAAGGGTACCCCTGGTCTGTAATTTGGGGAAGACCCCTTGCTTTAGAAGGTTAAGAAGGTAAGGGCTACAATGTTAGAAAGATGAATGACGTACAAATACTTACTGAAATGTGACATTGTAATATTCCTCAGGTGTCACTATTTTTGGTCCACCAAAGTAGTCCAAGACCCAGATATTGGTTATGTTCAACTTAGCAAAGAACCACTTATGGCTAGGCGGCCAGGTCTTCATCTCAGGGTGTCGAATGAATAATGAATGCTTTGCAAAGTCCACTTCTGTTTCATTCACCTAAAGGAAGAATGTAAAACAGTCTCATAACAGTGACATGCTCTCATCTGTTAAGGATGCATAATGCTAGCATTCTACAAGGCTTAAAGAGTTTATTTCATTATAAACCCTGATCTTAAATATAAGGAATCAAGAGAAAATGAAGGAGGTCTGAAGCAATGCAGAGAAGAACGGTACTGGTGATAACAGGTGTAATGAGGCAGGACATCTCCACCAGTCCCAGTTTCCACTGCTGAATGATAATTCTGGGCTGTCAGAGTAACTGGCACAATATACCAAAATAAAATGTTACTGGTGCTTATGCCACGTAACATTAGCATGTTTATCCCATACAAGCACATGTTAAACGTGTGTACACAAAGGACAAGAATCTTTAGAAGCAGCACCATGGAACCCCAGACCACCTGCCACCCCCACCACTTCTCCTGCCAGTGAAACACAGCTTCAGAGATGTGTGCACACAGAATTTCCAGACCACAAATAAACTTGTCTGAGTTCATCATTACTGACATGGTCAAAAAGCAAATCTGTTAGCTTGGCAATCAGACCAGGGTTCATGACACCCTGCCCTCTGCCCCCCGTGGTTTTATTTAAATTCTTTCCTCCAGCACTCAGCCCAAACTCTAAACTCGCTCCCAGTATTGAGCAATGAGTTACTCCCCTTTCAGCTTTCGTATGCCCTCTGCTCTGTGCTACTGTTCAAATATGGAGAAGATGGAACCCAAATATGGGAAATATTGGTCAGTGTACAACACGGTTGGGAGCAGTGAGCCTGGCTGAGACGTTCCTTACACAGGAGCTTAATAGCGGTTACATCTGTTTGGCTTCAAAAATAAGTAATTTAAAAAAATTGAACATAGTATAAATATCTCATTGAACACCTATATGAAAGCAACTGATTAAAGCCCTTAGTTTTCAAGAAATTACTTATTAGAACGTATTTCTAACTCTCAATCACAAATTGATTTTATTGTATTTTCAAAATATCTGTTTTTTCCGTGTTAATAAGATGATGCACTTCTAAAACCAGTCTCTGTTCTGGTGGGTAACTACCTACCTTGGTAACAGTTCCCGACAGTATTATGTGAGCACACAGGGGACTCTGGGGGTCGAATCCGTGTTTCCTGCAAAAGTTAGTCTGTGCCAAGGACATCGTCAGCGTAGCATGTGGATTCTCCTGCAGAGAGAACCAAGACCCTCTCATGTGACACGTCTCTCTGGAGAGGGAAGGAATTTCACAAGTCGCCTGCACACCGTCCCCAGAGCTAGACCGTTCGTCCATGAAACAGTGAATTGTAACACGCCACCTTCCACCTGGGAAAATCACTCCCTGGATAGAAATGGATCTTGACCCTCTCCCCAAAAAAGGGGGGGAGGGGAAGCTTCATGTTTAAAATTAAGTGATTGAGTAAGAATTATTTTAACACTCTTTCTCCTTAAACTCTCATCCCCATTTACCAGGGGGATTATAATTACAGTACCCAACACAAGGCTGGGTCACTGAAGATCTGAAGGAACAAACTCTTCTATGAAAACTCGCAAATAAAAACGGCACTGTTGCTCAACTAGCTTGATTATCATTTAAGCCAGAAGGAGCTGAGTCATGCTTCCTTGGCTCTCTCAGGCTAGCAGAACCGCCGCCCGCGCATGCTTTCAGAACTGGAGAGGCTGCTCATTCCTGCTGTAGCAACAAGAGAATTCTTAGATTCAAAAAGTGAGACAAGCAAAATTTCTGAGTCTTTCTTAGTCAGCAATCAGCTCCATGAAAGGTACTGTTGACAGATTACAGCAAAATTCACACATCGCATTTAGTGTTTTAAACCCCCAAGTGTCTTTCTTGTGTAAGGAACTTTGCCATGTCCTAGTGATCTATCAAAACAGTGAGTCATAAAGAGACCTTGAAATCATTTAGCCAAATATTTGCTGCTTATAAACTATTATTTAGGCAAGGCACTCTAGGAGATCAAATGAGGGTGGGGGAGTCAGGGGGTGTGAGGGACGCATACAGAGGTCTCTCCCTTCTCTGTGAGTTTATAATGTGGTTGCAAAGTCAGACATACAAATTTAATTAATACTAAACAAAGTCCTAGAAGGAGTCAAAGGCAATATATAACTAATTGTCAAGTGAATAGTATGGTTCAGTGTGTTTCAAATTCACTGTTAGATGTCAGCATAGTCTGGAGTTACACAGAAACCACAGGAGCCTTCTAAGATATTCAGAATCAGGATAGCAGCGGCATGTGTGTGTGTGTGTGTGTGAGTGAACTAAAGGTAAAGGGGATGATAACAGCAAAGGCAGAGAACTGGAAAGTGTGAGGCATGACTGCAAACAATGAGAAGCCCAATTTGCCTGAAGGAGAGGCTTCCTGAAGGGAGGGGCTGGGGATGGAATAGGGGGAGTGAGGGTGGCTTAACTCCAAGCTAAGGAGTCAGACCATATTTCGTAGGCTGACGTTCGTTAGGGCCTCCCAAGAACCACCTGCCTGGAGAGTTTATCAAAATGCTGACTTCGGGCCTCTATTCCCAATCCAGGTACCTGCATTTTTAACAGCCCCCCCCACCCACCGCCCCGGGTAAGTCTTACGCAGCTCTAGGAAGCTAGATGTTATTAAGGGTTCTGGGCAGAGGGCAATGTTGAGTGGTATCTGGTTCGTGTAAATCTGGTGGGCAGGGTGGACAGGAGCAGAGAAAGTAGGAGGTATAAGCCCACCTTGACTGGGTGATTGACAGAATCTGAGTCAGACTAATTCTGATGTGGCCACACCTTGTCACTGCCATCACTGAGACCTGAAATCCTGAGAATGTTCCTCGCCACTGTTGAGACGGCAGAGACCTGCGCTGGGGGTTCTACCTGGCAGCCATTCGCTGGCTGGTCACTGGGAGTCCCTGCACCTGAGTCTTAATTTCCTCATTCCTACAACGGGGATGACAATGTCAGCACAAGCTTAAATATAATCACGTACAGCGATAGGTCTGGAACTCCCCCTCCCCAGTTAGAAGCATCAGGGAGGGATGGGGTGGGGTTGTTTTTTAATAAAATGTATTTTTAAGAAAATACCTGGGCATTGCATTTTCCCAGTGACTATATTTGCCAAGGCCGAGCCTCACCGATGGAGTAGAATGGGCTCGCTTTGAGCAAAGGCCCAAGGGATTGGGGGGCTTGGCAGTAAGAAAATGGTGAACAGGGTACAAGAACCTTGGCTAAGGGAGGCAGCAGCTTCAGTTTTTGCTCAGAGAATGCATGCCTTCAGGGCCACAGATCTTCCAATTTTTCAAGAAGTCAGAAATTTAGATTTTTAATCGAAATTCCCGTGTTTGAATGCCGGTAACTACAGCAGTTCAAAGTTATTAAAAACAAAACAGAACTCTGTGTGGGCGAGAGAAAACCGGTCTGTGGGACACAGTCAGCTCATGCATCACGAGTCTGTGACCTGTGTTTTGAAGGCATAGGAGCCTGGGGTGAAATTCCAGTTTGGCCACTGACTTTGGGCAAGTGACCCGTCTACGCCTCCAGTTCTTTCTCCGCAGAATGAGGGTAGTACGCCCTGCTCAAAGGGTTATTAAAAGAGATGTTGAATGGCAAGTATCAGGTTATTTAATCATCTTTATCAATAATGTTGCACTTTCCTAGTTAACCTCAAATCTGGGATCTCTGTCAACAAAACCCTTCACCGAATCAGACTCCACTCCTGGACTGCGCACGGCTCAGTCTCTCGGACTGCAAGTCTGTGACGCCACTCCCGGGAGAGCACGGATCCGCCAGGTTGGGGAGCCGGCCCTGCCCCCAGGGTGGCAAAGGGTAAAGCCACAGACCTCACATCAGTTCTGCCCCCTACCTGGGAGGCCGATGTGCAGACGCCTAAACACCAATCATCTGTCAGAATTGTCGTCCATTAGCTGCTTGCTGCCGAAGGGAAAATTAATTCAGAAGGAGGGTGAGAAAAAGAAAACCCCGAAGCCACGTCCAGTGCCTGACTTCCCCAAATCTCTCAGCCTGGAAAACGCGTGCGAAGGGCGCCACACAGCTGGGGGGAGAGGGCTCCCCCGCGCCCCAGGGCCCTCGCTCACCTGCAGGTGGCCCGCGGACTGCTGCAGCGGGCTCAGGTACAGGTAGGGCACGCCGCGGCCCGCGCCCGGGGGCCCGTCGCTGAGCGACAGCACGTCGGCGAAGGGCCGGCCGCGCACCGCCGCCTCCGTGGAGATGGTGGCCAGCGCGCCCCAGTCGCAGACGTGCGCCACGAAGCGGGCGACGCGCGCCGCGTCCTCGCGGGGCGGCAGAGGCGGCATCTTCGCCGGGCCGCCCCAGTCCCCGTGGCCCCGGCCGCCGCGGCCCCGCGCCGGTGCCACCAGCAGCGCGCCCAGCAGCGCCAGTAGGGCGGCGAGCAGCGTGCGCGCGGATCCGCGGGCTCCGCCAGCCATGGCGACAGCAATCCGAGTCCGAGCCCCAGCCGGCAGCGCTGTCCCGTAGGGCATCCTGGCCCCGCCCCTCCGGGGACCAATCGGGGCGTGGAGGGGCGTGGCCTTTGCGTGCGCCCGGTGGAGACCTCCCCCTCCGGGGACCAATCGGGCCGTGGATGGGCGGGGCCTGTGGAGGCCCGCCCCGCCCTGGGCCCCGCCTTCCCGTCCAGGCCAGTCCCTGGCCATCTGTGAGGCCTTCCTCCGTGACTGCGAGCGACAGCCCTGTTTATTTCTCTTTTGCAATCCTCGCTCTTTAGTAACCACACCTATTTGTCGGGTGACTTGTTAATCGCCTGCGTGCTAGAGTGTAAGCTGTAGGGGAGCAGGAATGCTGTCTTGTCCACCTCCGCAGCCCCAGTGCACAGAGTAGTCAGTAAATATCTACTGAACGGCTGCCTGAATTAATAATACTGGATGGAATTATTTGCACACAGAGCCTTATGAGATCAGCAGGAGGAAGTGAGATTGACTAAGTGGGACACTCGAGAAAAGCAGTGGAGCGCTTCAGCTCTGAATTAGGAAGCCCTTCCCATTGGACTGCTGGGGGAATCTCTCAGCCAGGAGGCGCTGGACCCGCAGCCAGACCTGGGCTTCGCGCCTGGTCTTCTGCTTCTCTTTGAACAGCCTGAACCGCCCCTCACCCCCACAGCCCACCGGGAAATAGTCATCTTACCCTATATCCGGGCTTGGTCCTGGTCGAGAGCCCTGTCACGTCGGGTAACCCTTGTCTGTCTGTGGGGATAGACTCCACAGAGCTCTGTGGAGGACTTCACAGGGAAAGAAGGGACGACTCTGCACAGGGGAGACGCACTGTGCACAGGCAGGAACGGACGCGTGGGGAAGAGCACGGGGTGGGGGGCGGGGTGAGGAGCCACCGGTGGGGGATAGGCGCCGGGCAGGGGGTGCGTCCAGGGGCTGTCACTCGGGGCTCCCCTGGGGCAGGTGTGCCAGGCTCGCCCACGTGCATCTTGGCAGGACTGAGTCCTTGTGCGGTTGGATGGAGGGTCCCAGTGCCTTGCTGGTTGTTGGAGGCCCCCTCCGTTCCTGGCCACGTGGGCTTCTCCATCCAGCAGCTCACATCATGGCAGCCGGCTTCCCTCAAAGCCAGTGAATGAGGAGGAAAGAGTGCCAGCAGGATGGAAACCAGAGTCTTTTTATGATTTTTTAAAAAAATCTCGGAGTGACATCCCATCACTCCAGGAAAAGGGGTTAATGCGGAACATGAACACCAGGACGTGGGAACTCAGCTCTGGGACTGGTGCATGCATATGACTTTGCTGCTCAGTTATGAATAGTCGCTGTGGACTCAGAATAACATCTCCAACTTATATATTTATTTATGCTCATGCTCCGGTCCAGCCCTCTACCCTCCCCTGGTCTCGTGCCTTTGTCTAGAAACAGAACCTGGTGGAAAGGGGAAGGAAGCACTAAAAACAACTTCGCCCACATAAACTGCAAGTGCACACGGTGCAGGAATGGCCCACGGTGGGGCCCCAGCTTGGAGGGCACCAGGCAGCCAGGGGCTGGTGCCCAGATCTGCAGGTCTAGCATGATGGTGTCCCTTGAGAGTGGCTTGACTAAAGGCTCGGACACACAGGAGGGGCCCTCATGCAGCCGTGGAGCCAGTGGCATTGAGCTCATTGCTTGTGAGCCCACGGGAGACACCCTGGTGACAGAGCAGGCATGGAGGGGACAGAGGCCACTGTCACAAGTGGAGGTGGGCACCATAAACCCGGGTGTGACTGTTTCTGTGATCTGTTTTGTCTCCCAGGCAAACAGAAGCCACATATGTAGGTACAGCTTTCACTGGAAAGAAGGCAAAACCACTTGTTAGCTGGAGAGAGTCAGAGTTCAGGTTGCTAACGTGGACTTTGGCCAGAGGTCTAACGTGGCAGACACTGGGCAGGATTCCGAAGAGCCGCTCCTTATACTCCACTTGTGGATTCTCTACAACCTCTGAGAGGTTCAGCTGAGTGATGTGGGGAAGGGGCAGGGGTGGGGATGGTGGGCTGAAAGCAAGAAGGAAGACAAACACTAAGTAGTGACAGATAGGGATGAGATGTTGCAATATTACATGGTTGCATATGAGGCACACGTCATTTATATCTTGCTCCATATGCACAATTACTTAAACCAGTGTCTACATAGTTAATCTAAGGGGTTTTTGCACAAAAGAAATAACTACACTTACTAGATCATGTGCTTTATTTCCAAGGATCACAAGTGTTCATACGGAAGGGGATGATCCCATGTTGGAGGTTAAACCACCCCTGATGACATTGTGCTCACTGTGTGACTCCCAGAATGCCAGGTACAGTCACTAGAGTGAAGTAAAAGTCCTTGAAAGGTTTTGCCTTACAAATTCCATTAAAAATGGATGAAAAATCATAGGCCAGAACACATTATTAAGAAACAGTCTCCTGCTCCTTCAGTACTTCTCAGTCAGACCTTATTATTCCTTTCCTTACACCCTCTAGCAGCTGTCACTGCGCTCACTACCCGCCTTCCTCCAGCGGCCTCCCTAGCTGTTCCCTGCTGGCCTCACACACCTCAGCGCCTCCCGCCACAGGCCTCCGCCCGTGGCCTCCTCCCGGCATTTCACTCATTTCCCACTTCGGGGACCGGCTCCTTCTTCCTCAGGGGCTCACCTCTGGGAGCTCACCTCTGGGAGCTCTAGTGAGCCAGCTTCTTACCAACCTTCCTGCCTGTCCACTATGACCCCCTGAGACTCTCCCCCATACCCTCACCCAAATTAGCCACTTCTAGCTCCACTGCCCCACCTTCTTATTCTTAGCACTCACCAAAGTGGCTCGTTATATCTGTCCATCCTTTTCACTAGGATGGAAACCCCGTGACCATTCAGGCTGCTGTAACAAAGTGCCACAGACTGGGGGGCTTATAAGCAACACAAATATACTGCTTGTGTTCCGACGGCTGGAAGTCACAGATCGGGGGGCCAGCACAGTTGCCTAAGAGCCCTCCTGGGTCAAAGGCTTGTCCTTGGTTCCCCACCTGGCAGACGGGGAAGGGAGTGCTGAGGATGTCTTTTATGAGTGCTGGTCCCATTTATGAGGCCCCGTCCTCAGGACCTGATCACCTCCCGAAGGCCCCACCTCCTACACCATCACCTGGGGGGTAGGATTCCAACACAGGTTTGGGGAGTGTGCACACATTCAGGCCACAGCGAGGACCTTGTCTGTTTTGTTCAGCCTGGAATCCCCAAGGCACAACAGGGCCTGGTCCACAGCAGGTGCTCAAGAACTGACTGTCCAATGAATTAATAAATCGATGATTAATTATGGGCAATATTTAAAATATTTCTGGCTGAGTTTAATTAGGGTAAAACTTGTATACAATTTGTGTACAAGTGTGTAACTTGGCAATAATATAAGACCACATCACACTGAGCTCTCCTCTATCAACAGAAGGTATTCCTACCAGCTCTGTGCCCTCCCACCCCCATCAGAAGCCAGGAATCCTGGGCCACTCTTCAGGCCACAAAGCTGATCCTGCCACTATTTGCCTTCGGCGAAAAGTAATCATTTACTGCATGAATTTGGGGAGGACACACACATTCAGAGGACACCAAGGATCTCTGTTGCAGAGGGGCACCTGGCAGGACAGGGAGGCCACAGTGACACTTCTTCCCATAGCTCTGCAGGGTGTAGGGTCGGGGGAAGGCCTGCCCGCCAATCCCAGTGTTGTCCTGAGCTGTGATCCCTGGGCCCCTAAGGAAGGAGGCATTTCTAATAGGGTCTCAGCAGGAGGCTCAGTCCTAATTTACCAAGTTTTAGGAATAGTTGGTCAATGATGGTTCAGATGGTAACTTCACTTACCGCGCAGCCTTTCCTGATGTATGTAATTGTCAAATCACTATGTCATACACCTGAATCCAATAAAATATTGCATGTCAGTATTATATATATTTTAATAAAAACATTTTTAAAAATAAGGGTGAATCATGGGAGAAAGAGGAACTCTTGCACATCAGCAGGCACAGTTTGGGCATTTGGATTTCTCCAGAAGGGAGCAGGTAGGGACTCCGGTCAAGTGTAAGAGGTGGTGGAGGGGGGAAATGTGAAGTGTGGGACCCTGAGGGCCTCAGTGGGAACGACTGTCCTTCAGAAGCTGTCAGACTGTATTTGCTGAAGACCCAGCCACGGGGGTATTGCACGGGACACAGACATGTGAGCAACTTATGTCCTTTCTCAGCTCTGAAAGAGTATGAATTCTGAGTTGCATTTGGCCCAAGTTTCTTGGTTAAGGGATTCTGAGCCCTTTTTCTCAGCCGCATCTCACAGCGGAGGAAACCAAGGCTCCTGGGCAGAGCCTGCCCAGGGTCCAGCAGTGAGCCCGCGGACCAGTGGACAGCCCTTCTGGGCGGCACTCCAGGGCCAGAGTGTCTCCTGCACTTGGGTGCTCTCCCTCGGGACCTCAACATCCAGGGCCTGGGGTGCAGGCTGAGCGGGGAGGAAGCCCGTGTCCCTTGCATCTCCAGGAGGAGGACTTTGCTTCCTCCCTGTCAGATTTGCTCGGCCCCTGCGACATAATAAGAAATACACATTGGTCGCTGCCCAGGTTTCTGGCACAGAGCCTCTAAAACCTTCATGTCTTAGGAGCGTCTCCTGCTGTAATGTTGGATCTTAGACCCTCCTGACCTCTGGCGAGGGGAGAGGGGCAGGAGACTGAGCCATCGCCCACGGCCAGTGATTCAATCAGTCATGCCTCGTAAGGAAGCCTCTATAGAAACTGTTGGGCTGGAGACCTTGCCAGTTGGGGGAAGCACCCATGAGCCAGGCGGGATGCGCCCTAAACTCCACGGGACAGAAGCCCTGCACTCAGGACCTCCTGGCCATCCCCCCACGTACTCTCCCCCTGGCTGCTCCTCTCTATCCTTTATTGTATCCTTGCAAATAAACCAGTAAACAAAGCGTTTCCTCTGGTGCTGTGAGCCACTGTAGCAGTTACCAAACTTGAGGAGGGCGTCATTGGAGCCCTTGATT